AACTTCAAGAGCAAGAGGCCAACCTGAGGAAAAATGGTTCAGAGGAGGGGAGAGAGAAATTGAAGAAGTTGCCTACTACAAAGATAAAGGAAATCTGTGCTAAGTGGCTTGAAGTGCAAACCTTCATTGATGAAAATCACCCTCACACAGCTATTGCAAGCCGTGTTGGCAACCTGTACACTGACAATGTTGTGAAACACTTTAGGCAAGTCATAAAGGAACGAGAAGGGCAGGCCACTATGGACAGATATCTTGTGCGAAAGAAGTCCATGACTCTGAAGCTGCCCTAGTGGCATAAAGAAGAAGGGAAGTAACCCCAGAAAAGGACTTACTACCTCAAGTCCCAAATGGAAGGGGATTCCCCTTCTAAACACTAAACACACTTCTCCCCTCCTCCCATTCCATCAATCATCACCAGATCTCAATAAAGTAAGTGTCATTTAATTGTGCATGCCTTTTTCAGTTTGTGTGTATTAAAATTAACATTTCATGTGGGAAAAAAAAATTTTTTTCATACTTTTGGGCGTCTTGCACGGATTAATTTTATTTCCATTATTCTTATGGGAAAATTTATTCGCATAACGATATTTCGCATAACGATGAGCCCTCTTGCACGGATTAAAATCGTTAACCGGGGGGGGCCACTGTATATGGAGAAAAAGAGAGAGGTTAAGAGAGTGGTGAAGCAATGTAAAAAGAGAGCAAATGAGAAGTGGGTGAAATGTTATCAACAAATTTTGTTGAAAATAAGAAAAAGTTTTGGAGTGAGATTAACAAGTTAAGGAAGCCTAGAGAACAAATGGATTTGTCAATTAAAATAGGGGAGGAGAGTTATTAAATGGAGAGTTAGAGGTATTGGGAAGATGGAGGGAATATTTTGAGGGAAATTGTTAAATGTTGATGAAGATAGGGAAGCTGTGATTCGTGTATAGGGGAAGGAGGAATAACATCTTGTAGGAGTGAGGAAGAGCCATTGTGAGTGTGGGGGAAGTTCGTGAGGCAGTAGGTAAATGAAAAGGGGGTAAGGCAGCTGGGATTGATGGGATAAAGATTGAAAAGTTAAAAGCAGGTGGGGATATAGTTTTGGAGTGGTTGTGCAATTATTTAATAAATGTATGGAAGAGGGTAAGGTACCTAGGGATTGGCAGAGAGCATGCATAGTTCCTTTGTATAAAGGCAAAGGGGACAAAGAGATTGCAAAAAATTATAGGGGGATAAGTCTGTTGAGTATACCTGGTAAAGTGTATGGTAGAGTTATTATTGAAAGAATTAAGAGTAAGACGGAGAATAGGATAGCAGATGAACAAGGAGGCTTTAGGAAAGGTAGGGGGTGTGTGGACCAGGTGTTTACAGTGAAACATATAAGTGAACAGTATTTAGATAAGGCTAAAGAAGTCTTTGTGGCATTTATGGATTTGGAAAAGGCGTATGACAGGGTGGATAGGGGGGGCAATGTGGCAGATGTTGCAGGTGTATGGTGTAGGAGGTAGGTTACTGAAAGGAGTGAAGAGTTTTTATGAGGATAGTGAGGCTCAAGTTAGAGTATGTAGGAAAGAGGGAAATTATTTCCCAGTAAAAGTAGGCCTTAGACAAGGATGTGTGATATCACCGTGGTTGTTTAATATATTTATAGATGGGGTTGTAAGAGAAGTAAATGCGAGGGTCTTGGCAAGAGGTGTGGATTTAAAAGATAAAGAATCACACATAAACTGGGAGTTGTCACAGTTGCTCTTTGCTGATGACACTGTGCTCTTGGGAGATTCTGAAGAGAAGTTGCAGAGATTGGTGGATGAATTTGGTAGGGTGTGCAAAAGAAGAAAATTAAAAGTGAATACAGGAAAGAGTAAGGTTATGAGGATAACAAAAAGATTACGTGATGAAAGATTGGATATCAGATAGGAGGGAAAGAGTATGGAGGAGGTGAATGTATTCAGATATTTGGGAGTGGACGTGTCAGCAGATGGGTCTATGAAAGATGAGGTGAATCAGAGAATTGATGAGGGGAAAAGGGTGAGTGGTGCACTTAGGAGTCTGTGGAGACAAAGAACTTTGTCCTTGGAGGCAAAGAGGGGAATGTATGAGAGTATAGTTTTACCAACGCTCTTATATGGGTGTGAAGCATGGGTGATGAATGTTGCAGCGAGGAGAAGGCTGGAGGCAGTGGAGATGTCATGTCTGAGGGCAATGTGTGGTGTGAGTATAATGCAGAGAATTCGTAGTTTGGAAGTAGGAGGAGGTGCGGGATTACCAAAACTGTTGTCCAGAGGGCTGAAGAAGGGTTGTTGAGGTGGTTCGGACATGTAGAGAGAATGGAGTGAAACAGAGTTACTTCAATAGTGTATCAGTCTGTAGTGGAAGGAAGGCGGGGTAGCGGTCGGCCTAGGAAAGGTTGGAGGGAGGGGGTAAAGGAGGTTTTGTTGCGAGGGGCTGGACTTCCAGCAGGCATGTGTGAGCGTGTTTGATAGGAGTGAATGGAGACAAATGGTTTTTAATACTTGACGTGCTGTTGGAGTGTGAGCAAAGTAACATTTATGAAGGGATTCAGGGAAACCGGCAGGCCAGACTTGAGTCCTGGAGATGGGAAGTACAGTGCCTGCACTCTGAAGGAGGGGTGTTAATGTTGCAGTTTAAAAACTGTAGTGTAAAGCACCCTTCTGGCAAGACAGCGATGGAGTGAATGATGGTGAAAGTTTTTCTTTTTCGGGCCACCCTGCCTTGGTGGGAATCGGCCAGTGTGATAATAAAAAAAAAAATTAATATTAATGCACTAATACATAAAATAATGCATGAAATTATACAGCACAGGGAAACTGCAAAAATGAATACTAAATGAAAACTTAACTGAAATACTGTACTGTAAATGAAAATTTAACTGGCTCTTACCGGTCAGAGAGCTAGTGGCAAAATTATAGCAGCTTCTAATCTTGTGGGAGAAAGCTGGTAGGCCTACATGTGAGAGAATGGATCTCCATGGTCAGTGTGTGCAGTAGAAAAAAAAAAATCCTGCATCATGCAGTGCATGAGAAAAAACTGAGAGATTTTGGTTTAAAACAGAGATTTTGTGGTGTATTTTTGTATGATATTTAAGGTTGTAATCTCATTTTCTTTGTCTCTTTCGACAGAATCAAATATATATTACAGAAACTAACATTATTTTGAATGGTTTACAGAATAAAAGTAGCTTGAAATTCAGCTCAAAATAGCATATATGTTCAATTTTTGCTGATGTTCAAGAGTAAACAAATCACCTTTATGTGTCCAGTACACATCAACTGCTGGGTCTAATATGCATTCACAAATGCCCTGATATTATTTATGCAATTGCAGAGTGAATAACAATAAATCTTCTATTTTTTTGTGAATAAAAATTCAAAATGAAAAGAAAGTGCAATACAAGAGGGGCCAGAAGCTGTGATTAATGAACAGAAAAAATTTTTATTTTAGTGCTTGGAATCTCTGCATTGTTTATTGTGGACCCTATTTTGAAACTGGCTTTTCTTGAATTTTGTGTGAAATTGGGCAAATTAGTAATTTCAGATCATTTAACTGGGTAGTTCACCTAAGTAAATGGGCAGTTTCTTAAACTCAATTGATAGAATGAAAAGAGTTCTAGCAAAATAGCTATCAGTTTGGTTGACAAACAATGGAACTGGCCCAAAATAGGGCTCAAAGTGGGTGAAATTGCCGATGTGTAAATACAGACAATAATGCTAGCTGTGTGAAAGCATGATTCTGTAAGTTTTCCATCAAATTCTGTATTTTTAGTTTCATTACCTTTGGAAAAAGATTCTCTATCATTTCAAAAGAAATTTTTTTTTTTTTTAAACTCTTCGACCTTGGGAGCATTGTCAATAAACAACCACGAGCACATACAAAAACTAGGACATTTCTTTTCTCATTCATTTTAGAAAACTGATTTGATCAAGAAATAGTGCATTCAAAAATCGAGGTTCCACTGTACTCATGAAATCATAGTGACACAATTGCAAACAAACAAACCATACCATGGGTGGGGCTTGAACAAGTGGTCAGAGAGTCGTAAAACTCCAGACTGGCACTCTGACTGTGGGTTCGAGTCCCACCCATGGTATAGTAAGTTACCAGACAGTATGACTAGTTAATCAGATTACTGATAGGGTTGGTTTTGCTGCACTACATTACAAGCTAACTCAAAACACTAAAGAACACTTGTATGGCTTATCTCTTGCATGAACTCTCGAGTGAGTTACAAGATTCATCTTATACAGTAGTTAAAATATTTTAGTCACTCTGCAAGCTCATAAGTTTTCTCACTTGAATGAATATTTTTTTTTCCAAAGTATTTTGAAGACAAGAAATATGAATATAGTTTTTCTCTAGTATGAACCTTGTTATGTTTCAAATTATTACTAATGTTAAAATATTTCAAACATTCTAAGCACTAATATGGTTTACTTTCTGTAAGAAAATTTTCATGGTATAGATTAGCTCTTTTTATTTAAAAAAACATTTCAGACTCTGAACACTGATAAGGTTTACATCTTTTATGAGCTTTTTCATGTGCTGCAAGACTATTTTTTTGACTAAAACATTTTAAACACACTGAACATTGATATGGTTTCTCTCCTGTATGAATTCTTATGTGTGTTTTAAGAGTAGATATTAAGGTAAAGCATTTCAAACAATCTGAACACTGATATGGTTTCTCACCTGTATGAACTCTTGTATGAGCTTTAAGAGTAGATTTTAAGGTAAAACATTTTAAACACACTGAACACTGATATGGTTTCTCACCTGTATGAATTCTCATGTGTGTTTTAAGAGAAAACTTAAAGGTAAAACATTTCAAACATACTGAACATTTATATGGTTTCCTTCCTGTATGAACCTTTTCATGATGCACAAGATTTCCTTTTTTGCTAAAACATTTCATACACTCTGGACACTGATATGGTTTTTCTCCTGAGTGAATTTTTGTGTGAACTTCAAGAATATGTTTTCTGCTAAAACATTTCATACACACTGAACATTGATAAGATTTCTCTCCAGTATGAACTCTTGTATGTCTTTCAAGACAACTGTTTTTGGTGAAACATTTCAAACACACTGAACACTGGTAAGTCTTTCTTTATTGCATGAATTTTTGTGTGACCTACAAGATCAATTTTTCTGCTGAAACCTTTCAGACACTCTGAACACTGATATGGTCTCCTTCCTGTATGAACTAGTTCATGTTGTGCAAGATTGCCTTTTCTGTTAAAACATTTCATACACTCAGAACATTGATACGGCTTCTCTCCTGTATGAACTCTCAAGTGTCTTTCAAGAACCCTTTTAGCATTAAACCATTTCAAACATTCTGAACACTGATAAGGCTTCTCTCCTGTATGAATTTTCATGTGTCCATGAAGACAACTTTTGGTTGTGAAACATTTCAAACATTCTGAACACTGATAAAGCTTCTCTATTTTATGAGTTTCCTCATGTCGTAAAAGATAACTTTTTTCACTAAAACATTTTAGACATAATGAACACTGATATGGTTTATCTCCTGTATGAAGTCTTGTATGTCTCTCAAGATAACATTTCCTACTAAAACGTTTCAGACACTCTGAACAATGATATGGTTTATTGCCTGTATGAAGTCTCTCATGATTTACAAGATCACATTTGTAACTAAAACATTTCAAACATTCCGAACACTGATAAGGCTTCTCTCCTGTATGAGTTTTCTTGTGCTCAACAAGATGACATTTTTGGCTAAAATGCTTCAAACACTCTGAACACTGATAAGGTTTTTCTCCCTTATGAACTCTTATGTGTCTTTTAAGATCACTTCTATTGCTAAAACATTTAATACATTCTGAACACTGATAAGGTTTCTCTCCTGTATGAATTTTTTCATGTCTTACAAGATGACTTTTACTACTAAAAGATTTTAGACACTCTGAACACTGATATCCCTTTAAGGGAGGTTCACTGATGTTCGTGAGGGGCTCTTGATGATCCAAGGAACTGGACCTGACCTCCCTTTCCTTGGATTGAATTTGATTACTTTCCATGCCCTGCTAAAGGTTTAGCACTCATCTCATAAATGTAATAAAAACAGTGAGCACTGATGTGGTATAAGTATCTCTAATATAAACTCTCATGTGTCTTTCACAATTATTTACATATGGATACATGATTTCCCACACTTTATTGATAAAATATATCAAACTGATCTCGGTTATCAACATTTTTGCTTTAACATTTTAAGAAACACTATTATTATTTTTCCCCTTGAGATCTCTCATGTGATTTAAGAGAAGACTTTCTTGAAATGTCTGAATAATTAATACATTCCATTTTTCCTCTGCAAATATATAAACATATTTTATGTATAGTTCATTACAACCTAAAGTTACTTATTCAGTGCTGTTTCACTGGTAAATACTAAAATAAAGAATAAGGTGATGTTAAAAGATTCCCCTACAGATGCTTCTTGAAAGACTGGAGAGAGTAAGCGACTGGAAACATGGAGAGTGATCGTTGTTCCTCAAAGTAACTGTGGATTAGAAAAATGAGTCAGCACAGTGCTGCAGTCTAGAACTGAAATAGTTACACATATTAACCCCTAAATGGTCCAAACGTGTATATGCGTTCTTACATGTAGCGCCCCAAACGTATATATATGCAGGCAGACACAGATAGACAGAGACAGATAGAGATAGACAAAGACAGACAGGCAGACAGAGACAGATAGAGATAGATAGAGACAGGCAGAGACAGACATAGACAGAGATAGAAATCGACAGACCCTAAACTTGGGGTTAACATCACTTTCCTCTTAAAAGAGAAATGTTAATATGACATTACATCAGTGAATCCTTGGTGTTTGCCGCACTGTTTGCTCTAGCTGCCGCTCAATTTGACTGCCGCTCCCACAAGGTACTAAGTGATCCCAGATTTTTTTAATACTGAGCACACCAAGTGTTAAGATCAATTTTATGCTGACCAGGCATCGCAGGCCAATAGTGCCAAATATGGAGGCAGAAAAAATTATTTTTTTTTTTTATTATCACACTGGCCGATTCCCACCAAGGCAGGGTGGCCCAAAAAAGAAAAACTTTCACCATCATTCACTCCATCACTGTCTTGTAGTGTAAAGCACCCTTCTGGCAAGACAGTGATGGAGTGAATGATGGTGAAAGTTTTTCTTTTTCGGGCCACCCTGCCTTGGTGGGAATCAGCCAGTGTGATAATAAAAAAAAAAATAATTTTTTCTGCCTCCATATTTGGCACTATTGGCCTGCGATGCCTGGTCAGCATAAAATTGATCTTAACACTTGGTGTGCTCAGTATTAAAAAAATCTGGGATCACTTAGTACCTTGTGGGAGCGGCAGTCAAATTGAGTGGCAGCTAGAGCAAACAGTGCGGCAAACACCAAGGATTCACTGATGTAATGTCATATTAACATTTCTCTTTTAAGAGGAAAGTGATGTTAACCCCAAGTTTAGGGTCTGTCGATTTCTATCTCTGTCTATGTCTATCTCTGTCTCTGCCTGTCTCTATCTATCTCTATCTGTCTCTGTCTGCCTGTCTGTCTTTGTCTATCTCTATCTGTCTCTGTCTATCTGTGTCTGCCTGTCTGTCTGGCTTTGTCTATTTCTTTCAATCTGTCTTTGTCTCTGTCTCACAGGTACACATAAATACAAGTACAGTGGACCCCCGGTATTCGATATTAATCTGTTCCAGAGAGCTCATCGAATACCGAAAATATCAAAAAGCGAATCAATTTTCCTCATAAGAAATAATGGAAATCAAATTAATCCGTGCAAGACACCCAAAAGTATGAAAAAAAAAAATTTACCACATGAAATATTAATTTTAATACACACAAACTGAAGAAGACATGCACAGTTACATGACACTTACCTTTATTGAAGATCTGGTGATGATTGATGGGATGGGAGGAGGGGAGAGTGTGGATGGTGTTAGTGTTTAGAAGGGGAATCCCTTTCCATTAGGACTTGAGGTAGCAAGTCCTTTTCTGGGGTTACTTCCCTTCTTCCTTTAATGCCACTAGGACCAGCTTGAGAGCCACTGGACCTCTGTCGCACAACAAATCTGTCCATAGAGCTCTGTACCTCCCGTTTCTTTACGATTTGTCTAAAATGGGCCACAACATTGTCATTGTAATAGTCACCAGCACGGCTTGCAATAGCTGTGTTAGGGTGATTTTCATCCATAAAGGTTTGCAGTTCAACCCACTGTGCACACATTTCCTTAATTTTTGAAGTAGGCACAATGGATTCCACAACTGGCATAGGCTTCTCAGGGTTAGCCCCAAACCCTTCAAAATCTTTCTTAATTTTCATACTAATTCTCACCCTTTTTACCACAGGGTTGGCACTAGAAGCTTTCTTGGGGCCCATGGTGACTTATTTTGCAGAAACAAGCACCAAAAACAGTGATAAAATGGAATGTACCGAATGTATCCTTAGATGCGCGCACACTGGCTGGCTGGCTAAGGGGAATGTCCTATGAAGAAAGATTAAGGGAAATCGGCCTGACCACACTGGAGGACAGGAGGGTCAGGGGAGACATGATAACGACATATAAAATACTGCGTGGAATAGACAAGGTGGACAAAGACAGGATGTTCCAGGGAGGGGACACAGAAACAAGAGGCCACAATTGGAAGTTGAAGACACAAATGAGTCAGAGAGATAGTAGGAAGTATTTCTTCAGTCATAGAGTTGTAAGGCAGTGGAATAGCCTAGAAAATGACGTAGTGGAGGCAGGAACCATACACAGTTTTAAGACGAGGTTTGATAAAGCTCATGGAGCGGGGAGAGAGAGGGCCTAGTAGCAACCGGTGAAGAGGCGGGGCCAGGAGCTAGGACTCGACCCCTGCAACCACAAATAGGTGAGTACAAATAGGTGAGTACAGGGCTGTTCAGGCCACACGTGGACATGTCTTGTACAAGTCGTATCGAATACAGGGTTTTCAATCGGATACCGAGGCAAAATTTTTGCGTTAAAATGCATCGAATACCGGATTTATCGAATACCTATGCCATCGAATACCGGGGGTCCACTGTATACATACATAGTATGAATTACCTAGGATAACCCAAAAATCCAGACAAAGTGTATACTCTGCTTGAAGATGTGAGTAAAGGTGATGACGCAGTCTTGTGGCTCTCTCTGAGACAGAGAGCTAGACGGATAGACAGGGAGCTTGACAGACAGACAAATAGACAGAAATATTTGTGTACCAGCAAAAACAAAGCGAGGGGATGGTCATCTAATCTTTTCTTATCAGCTGCACCCTCCCTCACCCTCGTGTATGCTCATCAAACGTCAGCTCTTATCAGATGTTATCTCCCCTTATCATGTCACTGTCAGGGGTGGACTTCGTTTTTCATGCTTCAGAAAACATATTATTATGTATTATTATTACCTATTATTATATTATTATTATTATTATTTTTAATTACTCCTCCTCCTCCTCCTTCTCCCCTCCTGCCTCCACCTCCTCCTCCTCCTCCTCCTCCTCCTCCTCTCCTCCTTCTCCTCCTTCTCCTCCTCCTCCTTCCCTCCTTCACCTTCTCCTTCTCCTTCTCCTTCTTCTCCTCCTCCTCCTCCTCTTCTTCTCCTTCTTCTCCTTCTCCTCCCATTGTTATTATATACAGGGACCCCGCATAGCGATATTAATCCGTGCAAGAGAGCTCATTGTTTATGCGAAATTATCGTTATGCGAATGATTTTCCCCATAAGAAATAATGGAAATCAAATAATCCGTGCAAGACACCCAAAAGTATGAAAAAAAAAAATTACCCACATGAAATATACATTTTCCTACACACAAAGAGAAGGATACATGCACAATAGTAGATAGTACATGCACAATATATATTGTGCATGTACTACTCTATTAAATGAAAGAATAAATGACACTTACCTTTATTGAAGAGCAGCAATGACTGATGAGACACTGTGTCCGGGGAGTTGCCTTTTCCTCCTGATACTGTAGGTCCTGTTTGGCATTTTCTTCCAGAACGGGCCTTATCACACTGTGTATGCCACTACGATTCTTAAATCTCTAAAACCAACCTTTTGCGGGCTTTAATTCACCAATATGAGCCCCTAGTTCCAGGGATTTTTTTTCCCCGTTCCCCCTGGGTGTTAGTCGACTGTGTGGGTTGCACCCCGGAGACAAGATTAAGGGCCCCAATGGAAATAAGTTAGACAGTCTTCGATGACACTGACTTTTTTGGGGTTTTCCTGGTGGTAAATCCTCTTGGGTTAATTGTTTCTTGTAAATTCTCAATAGCCACACCAAAAACGGTGCTACAGCACAGCAGCCAGCAGCAGACAATGCTACAGCAGCAGCAGCAGCAGCAGCTGACAGGCACAGCAGCAGCGACATGCTACAGCAGCAGCAGCAGCTGACTGTGGTACAGCAGCAGCAGCAGCTGACAGTGCTACAGCAGCAGCAGACGATGCTACAGCAGCAGCAGACGATGCTAACAGCAGCAGCAGCAGCTGATGGGGGTACAGCACAGCAGCAGCTATGGTGGAACAGCAGCAAACAGCAGCAGCCGACGTGCTACAGCAGCAGCAGACGATGTTACAGCAGCAGCAGACGATGTTACAGCAGCAGCAGCAGCTGACGGTGGTACAGCAGCAGCAGCAGCTGACAGGGGCTTTCAGCAGCAGCAGACGATGCTACAGCAGCAGCAGCAGCTGATGGTGGTACAGCAGCAGCACAGCCGACAGTGCTACAGCAGCAGCAGACGATGCTACAGCAGCAGCAAGGGCATGCTACAGCAGCAGCAGCAGCTGACGGGGGTACAGCAGCAGCAGCAGCTGACAGTGCAAAAGCAGCAGCAGCAGCTGACGGTGGTACAGCACGCAGCAGCTGACAGCTACAGCACAGCAGACGATGCTCCCGCAAACAAGCAGAGGGTTACAGAAACCAGCAGCCAGCAGTGACACAGCACAGCTGTACCAACCAATAGTACGATGGTTTGATTGGGGTTTATTTAAACACCTGGCCACTCGGAGACCACGCGCTCCACTTTCATACTTAAACAATGATCTTTTTCTTCATCTCAATATATTCCACCCTGATTGCGTAGGGTTGGCACTAGAAACTTTTTTGGGCCCATGGTCACTTATTTTCAGAAAAAAATCACCAAAAACACTGTAATAAAATGAAATGTTCCGATTGAATGCTTGGATGTTAAAGGGGGGAGGCGGGGCTGGTAAACAATCCCAAACCGGCGGAAAAAGGTGAGGGGGGGGCCCAAAAGGGCGCACTTTAAGCCCGCTCTCAGACGAAAAATCGTTGACGGGTTTTTTTTTTAGCGGATGCGGGGGCAAAATTTTGGGCGATAAAATTTTAGGGGTATGGGGAAATTAACTTTAATGCAAGGCCAACGGAAATGGGGGGGGTCCACTTTATTTCCCCCATATCCAAAACATTGCTGGGACCTAAAAAAAATTTTGTATATTTTCCCAAGACAAAAGTAAAGGGCTAGGGCAGGTGTAAATTTCCACCTATCAGTGTGTTTGTGACA